TTAAAAAAATTCAAGTTCTTAGACCACATTCTTTCTGTGTCAGAAACCTACGCTGTGTCAAATATTTAATAACAATCCAAATTCAGAGCTGTATCAAGCTTGAATGTTGTGTCCATACTTGCCCCAACTGTTCAGGGTTCGACCTCTGCGGTCGTATCAAGCTGTGCCCCAGCGAAGCATTTTATTATAGACTGGTATAAGTTATAAAACATTGAAATTTCTGATGATTATTTTCCTTACCAAATGTACAAGTTTGTTTAGATTAACATCAACATGATATGCTTTGCTTCATGGTATGATAATTTGATAAAAAAAAATTCTTACTGGAACCAACATCAAGAACACATTAATTTCTGAATATGGTTTAAATACAACTAATGTTCTCCAGCTGAGCCTACATGTAGCAATATTCAAGGTAATTTATACACTGTCCAACAGTGCCCTTAAAATCTGGGTTATAACGCTCAAGTGCCCTTTCAGACAACTAGCACCTTTCTGCCCTGAGATTCAAGCTGGAACACTGGATAAGATACATATCTCACAATATGGGTGGTGATGTGATATATTTCAAATGGTACATTGTTTCTTCAGTGAATGGTTTCACCACTCTTGTGAAGCATTTGTTTTCCCACAAATTTGTATATCTGAATGCCAAAAAAGAATCATGAAATTAATACTGACTTCCTCCTCTTTAACCAGTAATACCTGTCTCATATTAATTGGATGGATGCTGTTTTCTGATAGATTTGATATAAATAAAAGTCTTTTTTTATATGTAAACTAGATGTGGTATGATTGCCAATGAGAACTTTCCACTAGAGACCAAACCATGTAGATCACCGTACAGCCTTCAACAATTATCAAAAGCCATACCGCCTAGCAAGCTATACATGTTAAAGGCATGACAAATGTAAAACAATTCAAAAGAGGTAACTAATGGCCTGATTTATGTGCAAAAAAACGAAAAAGAAATATTATACACAGCAACACATGACAACCACTGAATTACAGGATTCTCACTTGGGGCAGGTACATACAGAATGTGGCTTGGTTAAACATATTTGCAGGTGTGTTGTTGGCAGCAGCCTCAACATTTACATGTATTTTCAGTCTGTTGTGAAATTTTAGTTTAGACATCCATAACTTTGTCAAACCTTCATGGAGGTTTATTTACATGTACATGCATGAAATTTAGAAAGAAGTTTTTTTTTACATAAAGACAATATTCCCAGCAAAAGTTGGAATTTTTTATGCTCCTTTCATAGAGGAGGGGGCATTAAGTTTTACCCTTATCTGTCTGTACGCCCGTACATCTATACGTCCCTAAATTGGTTTCCGTTCTATAACATTAGTTTGTCTCAACCAAATGTTATGAACCTTTTACACAATGCTTATTACAACAAAAAACAGATCAAGTTTGAATTTGGGTGGCGTCACTTTTACCTGTCTAGAGTTGTGTCCCTTTACAAATGGAAAAATTGCTTAATTTTGTTTCCGTTCTTTAACTTAAGTTTGCCTCAACCAAATGTTATGAATCTTATACACAATGCTTATTACCACAAAACAAAGGTCAAGTTTGAATGTTGGTTGTGTCACTTTTACAGTTCTAGAGTTATGCCCTTTTTAAATGGAAAAATTGCTGAATTTTTCGTTTCCGTTTTCTAACTTAAGTTTTCCTCATCCAAATGTTATGAAACTTACACACAATGCTTATTATCACAAAACTCAGATCTAGTATGAATTTGGGTAGGGTCTTCTTTTTACTGTTATTGAGTTATGTCCCTTTATAATGTTATCATGCAAGCGGGGGCATCATCTGTGTCTCATGGACACATTCCCCATTTATTTTTTTCCCCATATTTTTCTAAATAATGGACTTATTTTTATATACTTTTCACATGTAGGTACAGTCTGTGGTTCAAATTTTTCGGTCATTCATAACTTGGTGAAAAGTTCTTGTAATTTGGACAAAAGCTATTTTATTATCAAAAGACAGTATCAGTATCCAGAGCAAAATAAAGAAAATATTTTTATCTTTTGGTATTTTTTCTGATAAAAGGACTATTTTTTTGCAGTTGACGTGTACAAGTAGATTCAGTCTGGTGTTAAAGTTTGTTAAAGACATCAATTACTTTTTCAAAAGTTCATTGAATTTTATGAATCTTTGGTAGAAACTTTCTTTTTTGTCATATTAAATTTGTAAACTTAATGGACTCTTTTGTAACTTGGACAGAAACTTATCTTCTAGATTAAGAAATATCATCTGAAAAAAAGAAGAAGATTTTTTAAACAAAAATCTGTATTTTAAAGCTGATAAATGGACTTACTTTCAACAGTCAACATTACACTTTTACACTGACAGCAGCAATTGCAGGCAAAGACGCAGGGTTCTGTTATGAATTTTGTCTTGTCTACGCGAGACATAGGGATTACTATCTGGCAGCGGTGTGATCTATTTGTATAAAGTTTTATATTTTAGAAGATAGAAGACTTGGATGCTTCGTACCTTGTTTATAAATACCTTATGTTATGAAGTTTCTGTTTGACATATGTCCATTCTCCTTGACCTCATTTTCATGGTTCAGGGACTGCTTGAAAAAAAATTGGTAGTTTTTTTGTCATGTGCATTTCTTACTTGTTATGAGTAATGGAAAACTATATTTGGTATATGGGTTCCTGACAACATCTACATGTCTGTCAGACAGGGTTCACCTGACCTCGGCCTCATTTCATGGATCAGTGATCAAGGTTAAAGTAACGAAATTAGGTCCATTTCTCAGATACTATAAGCGGTAAGTCAACTATATGTGGTGTATGGAATGATTTTAAGAGATACATGTCTGATGTCAGTCCGGCAGGTTTCATCTGACCTTGACATCATTTTCATGGTTCATTGGTCAATCTTAAATTTTTATGTATTGGTCTGTTTTTCAAGTACTCTTAAGAAATAGGTCAACTATATTTGGTGTATAGAATGATTGTAAAGTGTATATGTCTGTCTAGCGGGTATCATCGGACCTTGACCTCATTTGTATGGTTCATTGGTCAATGTTAAGTTTTTTGGTCTGTTTTTTAAATACTAATAGCAAAAGATCAGCTATATTTGATGTACGGAATATTTGTAAGGTGTACATGTCTGTCTGACAGGATTTATCTGACTTTGATCTCATTGTCATGGATCTTTAAAAATATTTACGTGATACTTGTAGTAAAACCTGTATCTTTAAAGACTCAACATAAAATCATTGGTCAGTAAAGCAGGTAGGACATTTCCGTATGTGCAGTCTTGTTTAATAGAATGCATCATAAATGTGGTTATATCAAATCCCATGGTGCTATTTAAACTAAAGTGCTCACTTAAAAAGTGTAAAATAGTAGTCTGAAAATTTGAATGTTTTGGGCTGAAAATTGAAGTAGTTTGATTACAGGAAACACTTTAAACAAACACCTTCTTTTCATCACCCAATCTACAGGATTCCATTTTCACACTGCTTAAGACAAAATATTTTGTGTAATATACTCTTACAATGTTCCGTCTGGGTGTATTGCTTTTTTTACTCCCTATTTAAAAAAGAAATTGAAACTTGCATTTGCAACAAAAAACAAAGTTATATATAAACTTTTAAATAATCTCATCCTTCTGGTTATCCCACTACTACCTCCCTGTGACGAGCAGGATAGGGAGCAGATAGCAGACATAATTGGTTATTATCAATCAATAAATTTACTGTAAATTAGGGCAAAACACTATTTAAACCATCATATTAAAGCAAACCCTCTAAGTTTTTTTTGTATTTTAATTTGCTTTTTTTTCAGGGATAAAGGTCCAACAATAATTAAACAATATTATAAGTATTCAAACAAAAAAAGTATAAAATTGAGTAGAGTTGCCAAGGCAATGGATAATGTTGTAAATCCTGAAGACACGGCCAGAAACAGTCTTATAGTTACAAAATTCTAGTTACTTTTGTTGTTTTTATGCGACCGCAAAAAAATTTTTGGGATCATATAATGGTATGATGTCGTCGTTGTCTGCGTCGTCGTCTGAAGACATATTTGTTTCGGGACAATAACTTTAGTTTAAGTGAATGGATCTCTTTGAAATTTTTCAAGAAGGTTCAATACCACAAAAGGAAGGTTGGAATTGATTTTAGGGATGATGGTCCCAACCGTTTAGGAATTAGGGGCCAAAAAGGGGCACAAAACAAGCATTTATCTAGCTTCAGGACAATAACTTGTGTATAAGTATTTCAATTGCTCTGAAATTGTACCACAATGTTTAATACCACAAGTAGAAGGTTGGGATTATTTTAAGGGTTATTGGGCAAAGTTTAGGAATTTAGGGCCAAAAAGGGGCCAAAAACAAGCATTTTTCTAGTTTCCAAAGTGTATGCATCTCTCTGAAATTATACTACAAGATTCCATACTACAAAGGAAAGGCTTGGATTGAGTTTTGGGGTTATTGCTCCAAGGGGGGTTTCAATAAGTTGGTGGGGGGGGGGGGATTTTTTGTTGACAATTTTTTTAAAGGATTTATATTTTTTTTTCAAAATTTTTCAAATTTCGAATTTTTGAAAAGTTTCAAGAAGAAATCTTCAATTGCACAGTATTGTGCAATAGATTTGTAAGATCTTTGACCACATTTGTTTTATGTCAAAAATTTGATCACAATCCAAATTCAGACAGTATCAAGCTTGAATATTGTGTCCAAATTTGCCCCAACTGTTCAGGGTTCGACCTCTGCGGTCATATCGGGCTGCAATGAGCGATGCATTTTATTTCCCATACATTACAAACAATGCAATGAGTGATTTTCATTTATTATGTCACTATAAGTACAGTGGAATGTGAATGCTTTACCATTGGGAATAAGGCTTTCCCCAAATCAGAAGTTTCAAATTTAACTATGAGAATTTTGGGTGTGTCTGAAAGAACTAGAGTTTTAATAAGCTGAAAGAAAAAATTGTCTATCATTTAATTTATTTAATTTTTCTTTTCAGACACAAACTGATTTGTGATGCCGGGTGTTGTATTTGTATACCAGGCACTGCATGACTTCACGCCTTCAGAACAGACTTCTGATCCTGATGATGAAGAAATCCAGATAGAAAAAGGCGATACTCTTGAAGTTAAAGGTCCTATTGAAAATTATGAACACCCAAATATTTGGTTGAAAGGCAAGAATGTTACTAAAGGTACAGAAGGACTGTTTCCAGGGACATTTGTACAGTTTATTAAAACTATAGAACAACCTGATGAGCCAATGGAGGGTAAGTACTGTAGAATGATATGATATATAATAGTTACCTTGGGGGAGTTCACATGGACAACAGACTAATTGATAAGATTTAGCCCATACATTATATTTACATGATAACATCATGATGGTTCAGTATTCAATCATTTTTAAAAGGCCTACTTTGAAGGTAAAATTTCTTGCTACATGTATGTTTGAATATCACTTTCTGGAAATTTTTCTATGCAATTTAGGTCATCTGTTGAGGACTTGAAAGCTGCACAGGAATCTTTTTTTTTTCAAACTGTCAGATTCATACCAGACGTCATGACATACCATAAACGAACCTGTCTCAACGGTTTGGCTTCATGAACTACATAAAGTTTTGTACCTGTTCTTTGTGAAATTTCTGACAAAAGGGTGTTGAAAATTATGTGCAATCTTGGTATATTTTTTAATCATCATTTTTATACGACCGCAAAAAAATTTTGTGGTCGTATATTGGTATGACGTTGGCGTCGTCGTCGTTGTCCGAAGACACATTGGTTTTCGCACTCTAACTTTAGTTTAAGTGAATGGATCTTTTTGAAATTTGACCATAAGGTTAAATACCACAAAAGGAAGGTTGGGATTGATTTTGGGGGTTATGGTACCAACAGTTAAGGAATTAGGGGCCAAAAAGGGGCCAAAAATAAGCATTTTCTAGTTTCCAGACAATAACTGTGGAACGGTGTATGGATCTCTCTGAAATTATACTACAAGTTTCCATACCACAAAGGGATGGTTAGGATTTGCTTTGGGGGTTATGGCTCAAACCGTTTAGGAATTAGGGGCAAAAAAGGGGGAAAAACAAGGTTGTCCTGGTTAATGGACAAATACTTTAGTACAAAACATAATTTAAAGCAGTGTAAGGGAGATAAATCAAATACATCATTGAAATTATCTCCCTTACACTGCTTTTAAATTATGTATAAAGTAATGGTTAATGAACAATAAAGATAATTTAATACAGTGTAAGGGAGGTAATCCAAATACAACGTTTTGGTTACTTCCCTTACACTGCTTTTAAATTATGTTTAAAGAAATGCATATTTATAAAGGAAGACCAGTAAAAATATCTGCAAATGTTGCATCTTTTTTTTTTTTACAAAAAAATCCCTATGAAAGATTTGACACTATATTTTTAATTCTATTATAAAATAGATTAAGTTAGCACTATGCAGTATGGTAAATTTAAATGGGTAATTATGGTTGCCAACTCCATTGGAAATTTGAATTGAGATTATGACCATATCTTGAGGGAAAGAATTTTTGGGGGGAAAAAAGGGGGGGGGGGGGATAAAAAGAAATTGTGGGAGGTCAATTTTTTCTCATTTCAGATTTCAGAAATTAAAAAGAATTATTCTTCAAATATTATTTTTTTTTCAAATTTCAAATATTGAAAAATTTCAAGAAGTAATCTTTAATTGCACAGTATGGCGCATTAGATTTGTAAAATCTTTGATCACATTTATTTATTTGTTATGCCGAATCTAACAGTGTATTTAGATTTTTAATTTTGGGTCCAGTTTTCAAATTGGTCTACATTAAGGTCCAAAGGGTCCAAAATTAAACTTTGTTTGATTTTAGCAAAAATTGAATATATGAGGTTCTTTGATATGCTGAATCTAAACATGTATTTAGATTTTTGATTTTTGGCCCAGTTTTCAAGTTGGTCCAAATTGGGGTCCAAAATTAAACTTTGTTTGATTTCAACAAAAATTGAATATATGGGGTTCTTTGATATGCTGAATCTAACCATGTATTTAGATTTTTTATTTGTGGACCCCGTTATCAAATTGGTTCATATTAAGGTCAAAAGGGTCCAAAATTAAACTTTGTTTGATTTCATCTAAAATTGAATTATTGGGGTTCTTTGATATTCCAAATCTAACCTTGTATTTAGATTTTTAATTTTGGGTCCTGTTTTTTAAATTGGTCTACATTAAGGTCCAAAGGGTCCAAAATTAAACTAAGTTTGATTTTAACAAAAATTGAATTCTTGGGGTTCTTTGATATGCTGAATCTAAACATGTGTTTAGATTTTTGATTATGGGCCTAGTTTTCAAGTTGGTCCAAGATAGGGTCCAGTATTTAAACTTTGTTTGATTTCAACAAAAATTGAATATATGGGGTTCTTTGATATGCTGAATCTAAACATGTATTTAGATTTTTGATTATGGGCCCAGTTTTCAAGTTGGTCCAAATTGGGGTCCAAAATTAAACTTTGTTTGATTTCAACAAAAATTGAATATATGAGGTTCTTTGATATGCTGATTCTAACCATGTATTTAGATTTTTTATTTGTGGGCCCCGCTATCAAATTGGTTCATATTGAGGTCAAAAGGGTCCAAAATTAAACTTTGTTTGATTTCATCAAAAATTGAATTATTGGGGTTCTATGATATGCCAAATCTAACCGTGTTTTTAGATTTTTAATTTGGGTCCCGTTTTTTAAATTGGTCTTCATTGAGGTCCAAAGGGTCCAAAATTAAACTTAGTTTGATTTTAACAAAAATTGAATTCTTCCGGTTCTTTGATATGCTGAATCTAAACATGTGTTTAGATTTTTGATTATGGGCCCAGTTTTCAAGTTGGTCCAAGTTGGGGTCCAAAATTAAACTTTTTTTGATTTCAACAAAAATTGAATATATGGGGTTCTTTGATATGCTGAATCTAACCATGAATTTAGATTTTTTTTTTGTGGGCCCCGCTATCAAATTGGTTCATATTGAGGTCAAAAGGGTCCAAAATTAAACTTTGTTTGATTTCATCAAAAATTGAATTATTGGGGTTCTTTGATATTCCAAATCTAACCGTGTATTTAGATTTTTCATTTTAAGTCCCGTTTTTTAAATTGGTCTACATTAAGGTCCAAAGGGTCCAAAATTAAACTTAGTTTGATTTTAGCAAAAATTGAATTCTTGGGGTTATTTGATATGCTGAATCTAAACATGTGTTTAGATTTTTGATTATGGGCCCAGTTTTCAAGTTTGTCCAAGTTGGGGTCCAAAATTAAACTTTGTTTGATTTTAACAAAAATTGAATATATGGGGTTCTTTGATCTGCTGAATCTAACCATGTATTTTGATTTTGGACATTGGACCATAATAGGTAAATTAAAAAAATTCAAGTTCTTAGACCACATTCTTTCTGTGTCAGAAACCTATGCTGTGTCAAATATTTAATAACAATCCAAATTCAGAGCTGTATCAAGCTTGAATGTTGTGTCCATACTTGCCCCAACTGTTCAGGGTTCGACCTCTGCAGTCGTATCAAGCTGCGCCCCAGCGAAGCATTTTATTTTACCTGTCCTAATCCCAAAATAAGTTTTGGTAATGGACCTAGAATAAGTCATGTCTGGAAATACAACCATTTGGGGACCCTTGAAGATGACTACACTAGGCAGCTGGTCATTGTTGTGCATTACTTAAACTGTAAAACATAAAGAAAATGTCTGTGTATAATATGTATGTTATTTTTTTACAGCTGGTAGTGCACTGTTCACACAATTGTTTTACATATTGAATTTTATTCTTCAATGTTATTAAATATAATTTTTCATATTGATAATATATTATGTCCAACTGCAGTTACAATAGTTCAATGATAGCTGAATTTTCACCAGCATTGCTGAGAGCAAAAGTTGGAATTCCTGAACTCTTCAAGAACAGAATATAGAACTAAACATAAATTTTTCTTTAATAGTTAGTTTTATCTATGCCAGTAGTATTTGAAACAAATACTCACTCTGCTATTTTAAATCATCATGTATATATATAGCTCATACTCTGGGAAAAGAGTTTTTCACATACATGTACCTGGTATATTGTTAATTCAGTCAACATTGTACAAGTAAGGTTATGGCAAGGTTGTGCTTACATTTGATTTGAAAAAAGACAAAGGAGTAGGTTCGATAAGGCCCTTTTGGGCCCCTTTTTTTTAGCTTAAATTTCAAATTAGGATTTATTGACCAATATCACAATGAATCATAGCTAATACAGTGACTAAATGGAAAAAGGCCTTTTGTTGAAAATTTACTTACCTGCGTTTTATACATGACGTCACAAGTAGTACTGACTTTGATTTTCCACAAAAAAATCAATGAAAATGGGTAAAATTCCATTGATAATTGGACAGGAAACATAGAGCGCATACGTCGACAAAAAAGATCTTTATAAATAATGTTTGTAAAGACATTTTACATGTCTAACTTGAATATTTAGTTTGTCGACGCCTGCGCTTTAAGTTTCCTGGTCCTAAATTTGGTTGAAATCCGGCCGATTTTGTCAAATTTCGCCAAAATCTCTTATCTTGACCTATTTGGGATGTAAAAATCAATGCTTTCGAATAAAACTTTGACACAAAAAGTTCTATTTAACTTTCTCAGATGTCTTTAAGTCAACTCAAAACATTTTTCATCTTGTTACATTGAACTTTATAATTGGGGCCAAATATGGCCCTTTACCGAACTTACTCCTTTTGTTTAAAAAAAGATAGCATTTGATAGACAGAGCTTGATAAAATGAATAATGTCAGGACCAACCTCAGGGGTTCAATTTTGCTTTAAATAATGAAAGGTCCAGGACTAATTGAATTTTCAAATGAAAAGGTCCTCCAGTTCTGTATAAAGCATCAGTGTAAAGAATGGTGGTCCTTGACTTTTGTAATTCAAAAATGAAAAGCCCCCTCCAAAAAAAAAGACAGGTTCAGGATCTCGGACCCACACTGATTTGAACCCCTAAACTGATATTTACAGACACCCTTTCTTATACAGTATTATGTTTTGTTGTTCAATTGACCTATAAAGTTAGAAGTACATGTAAAGATGGTGTTCTAGATAAAGTAGACAACAATATATTCCAACGAAGTGTTTACAATCTGATCGGTTTAGTTTCCATTTCAGTGATTGACATGAGGAAACTTTAAAATGAATACAGATACATACATGTGTACATGTATTCATACACATACATTTGTTATGGTCATATGCTT